GTTGAGATCAAGGCCAGGCTGGTCTACATAATGAGTTCTAGGTCAGCTGTGGCTACAGGAAGACCCTGTCTCAAAAAGACCAAAACAAACAAATAAAATAGCAGAAAAATGTATTTTTCAAAGACAAAGAGAATTATTGGTAAACCAAAATAAAATTGAATCCCTAGGAGGAAAAAAGGCAATATTAAACTGAAAGAAAGAACTTAAAAAAGGGTAGGGGAAGGCAGTCCAACACCAGAGAGAACCAAAGTGTTTCCCAAGGGAGTTGTGGAGCAGGCCTAAGCAGGGGTGGGTCATGAGGACAGTCATGGGTTGTGGAAGGCACAGCTAAGGAACTTCTGCAACTCTGGGCCCTTTCTCTGCCCTCTTCAATAAATAAAGTTAACAGTCCCAGTCCAAGTCAAGAGAAATACAGTCTACAGTGCCCAGTCTGAGAAGGGAAACCACTGAGTGTATTAGGGCAGAGGGCAACTGAGTGACTCTGGTTCTAATGCAGAAAAGAAGGGGTTGGGGCAGGGAGAAAAGACCTGTAGGAATTGTGGGAGTCCCTGCCTACTTGCCTTCTTGGTCATATCCCTCACTTGACAAGTAAGCCTTTGAATAAGGAGCAAGGCCTCCTGGGAGGCAGCCCAACTTAGCCCAGGAGGAAATGTATGTCATGCTTTACTAGTAGTGGTTTATTCATCCATCCCTCACTCATCCTCATCCCCTCAGGTGCAGAGATGAGTGCATAATACTCCTCAGTTCCAAGGACATTATCATTACTGACCCATCCAAGCCTCTCCTTGTGTTTATTTGTATTCATTCCTTTTATTACTGTTCCCCAGTCTTATCCCTTCTCCATCCATAAGCAACTCTTAAAATTATTATGGCACAGTAAGGGGATGTAGCTCAGTGGTAGAGCATTTGGCTAGAATATGTGAAGCCCTAGGTTCAACCCCCTAGTAACAGGAAAGGAGGGAGGGAGGGAGGGATGGAGGGAAGGAATGAACTTACAGGGCTGGGGAGATGTATCAGTCAATAAAATGTGCTTGCTGTGTAAGCATGGGGCCTGAGTTTGATCTCCAACACCCATGTAAAAAGCCAGGCATGTTTCTCTAGCCCACAGATCCACAATTTCCATGTTCTTCCCACAAACCAGCTCCAAAGCCTATGAACCACATGGCTAGGTCTTACATAGCAATGACGCCCACTTCTCAGTACCAGTTTCTTATATTAGTTACTTTTTTCATTGCTGTGATGAAATACACACCTTTAATCCCTGCACTCAGGAGGGAGAGGCAGGAGAATATCTGTGAGTTCAAAACCAACCTGCTCTACATGTCTACATAGTAAGTTCTAGGTCAACCAAGTCTACATAGTAAGATCCTGTCGGAAAGAAAGAAAGACGTGACAGAAAGCAACTTAAGGGAGGACAGATCTGTTCTGGATTACAGTTTGAGAGGGTACAGCCCACCAAGGTGAGGAAGGCATGGTGGCAGGAGTATAAAACTGCTCACACTTGGGTGGATCAGGAAGAGAGATGAATGCTGATGCTCAACCGATTTTCTCCTTTTCCCCTTTTCATCCAGTCTAGTTCCCTAGTCCATGTGATAGTGCTGCCCATATTCAGGGTAAGTCTCCCTGTTAATTTTCTCTGGAAATACCCTCAGAGACACACCCAAAGGTATGCCTCATTAGTGCTCTACATGGTTTTTTTCTTTTCTTTCTTTTTAGCATGCTGATTATACATAATAATGGGTTTTATCATGGCATATTCATACATAATAGTTTCGTTGTTTTGAGGGTTTGGGGGTTTTATTTTTTTGAGACAGGGTCTCTCTGTAGCTCCAGCTGGTCTGGAACTCACTATGTAGACCAGACTGCCCTTGATCTCACAGACATCAGCCCACCTCTGCTTCTCAAATGCTGGGATTAAAGCATGCACCACCACACCACTCTTGACAGCATAATGTATTTTTCAGCTACCACCTGTCACTCTCTCCCATTGCCCCCTTGCTCACACTCATCTCCTTCCTCTTCCTACCTGGTCCCTCTTCTATTTTCATGTCTTTATTTGATGACTAAGTAAAGTTCATTAGGAAAACTTATTGTTTACAGGATCCTAGGTGCAGAATTATTTACAGGTGCATGGGCTCCTTGCCAGTGGCTACGCCATGAGTGTTGGAATTACAGGCATGCACTATCATATCTGGTTGTCCATTATTTAGTAATTGACATATTAAAATTTTATCTAAATTTGGGGCTGGAGATATAGTTCAGTCAGTAAAGTGCTTCCCTTGCAAGTATGAGGACCTGAGTTTGATGTCCAGAACCCATGTAAAAAAAAGCTGAGCATGGGGCTGGGGAGATGGCACAGTGGTTAAGAGGACTTACTCTCTTGTCCAGTTCCCAGTACCTAGATAATGGCTAGCAACCATTTGTAACTCCAGTTCCAGAGGATCTGATTCCCCTTTCTGATCTCCATGGGCTCCTGCATATACGTGGTGCACATACATACACATAAAATAAATTTTTTTTTAAAGCTGAGCATTGGGGACTGGAGAGATGGCTCAGCAGTTAAGAGTACTGGTTGTTCTTGCAGAAGACCCGGGTTCGAATCCCAGTACCCACGTGGCAGCCAACAATCATCAGTAACTCCAGTTCCAGGTGGATCCCATGCCTTCTGTCTTCTGAGGGCACTGCACAACACCGGTACACTTATACACATTTAGGCATAACACTCATACACATAAAATAAATAAACTTGAAAAAAATAAAAAATAAATAAAATAAAAGACTGAGCATGGCAGGACGTGGTGGCACACACCTTTAATCCCAGCACACGGGAGGCAGAAGCAGGTGGATCTCTGTAAATTCAAGGCTAGCCTGGTCTACAAAGTGAGTTCCAGGACAGCTGGGGCTACAGAGAGGCCCTGTCTCAAAAAGACCAAAAAACAAGCCAGGCATGGTGGTGCACACCTTTAATCCCAGCACTCGGGAGGCAGAGGTAGGCGGATCTTTGTGAGTTCAAGGCCAGCCTGGTCTACATAATGAGTTCCAGGACAGCTGAGGCTACAAGGAGATCCTGTCTCAAAAAAAGACCAATAAAATAAAATAAAATAACATACATTAGCTGCATGATCCACCAATTCCAACAACTAAATAGTTGCTTAGAACTTGAACACTGTGGTTTATCTATGGAATATGAGTCAGTAATAAAAGGAGCAAATATCATATAGCAAAATGAATCTGAGAAATATACTTAGATGTCAAATCTGTATATGTCATGTACAGATGTATTTCTGTATGCAAAAACTTCCCAAGGTCAGCTATTTTAAAGGCTTCAACAGTCTTCATGGTGCTAATCACCTAATATTTTAATTTAAAAACAAAGGACTGGAAAGGCAAGCACCAGCTGAGACAACCTATATGCACGCTTCCCACAGTCATCATTCACATACACTGGGAAGATCTTATTGTTTAGGTTTTTTGTGGTGGTGGTGGAAGTAATTTATTTTGTATTTTTGAGAGTCTCACTCTGTTGCCCTGGGTGACCTTGAATTTCTGGCCATCATCCTGTCTTTTCCTTTCAAATGCTGGGATTATAGGCATGTGCCACCATTCCTGGCTGCTTGTCTTTATTTTGTATGTCGAGGATTGAACCCAGGATCTTTTTGTTTTGTTTTGTTTTTGACACAGGGTCTCCCATAGCCCCAACTGGCCTGGAACTCCATATATAGACCAGGCTGGCCTTGATCTCACAGAGATCCACCTGCCTCTGTTTCCGGAGTCCTGGTTTAAAGGCATGGACCACCATGCCTGGCATGAGCCTAGGATCTCTTTCTTAAATATATTTTTAATTTTTTTTTTTTTGGTCTTTTTGAGACAGGGTCTCCCTGTAGCCCCAGATGTCCTGGAACTCACTATGTAGACCAGGGTGGCCTTGAACTCACAGAGATCTGCCTGCCTCTGCCTCCTGAGTGCTGGGATTAAAGGCGTGCACCACCACACCGGCTAAATTATTTTTATTATATATGTATAAGTATGTTGCTTGCAGGTATGTAAGTGCACCCATGTTATGCAATGCCCTTGGAGGTCAGAAGGCATCAGATCCCCTGGAACTGGAGCTACAGACGGTTGTTAGCCACCAGTGGGTGCTGGGAATCGAATCCAGTCCTCTGCAAGAACAGCTGTGCTCTTGATCACTGAGCCATCTTTCCAGCCCCGAGCCCAGGATCTTAACATATGCTAGGCAAGCACTACCACTAAACTACATCCACAGCCCTCTCATTTTGCTTTTTTTGACTTGGTTTTGGTTTTTTCTTTTGGTCCTTTTGAGACAGGGTCTCCCTGTAGCCCCAGCTGGCCTGGAACTCACTATGTAGACCAGGTTGGCCTTGAACTCACAGAGATCTGCCTACCTCTGCCTCCCCAGTGCTGGGATTAAAGGTGTGTGCCACCACCAGAACTTACTAAATTGCTGAGGATGACTTTGAACTCATGATTTTATTTCTACCTCCCTCCCAAGTGCAGGGAATACAGGCATGTTGTTGCTATTGAATCACTATGATCTATGTAAAGGAACTTAGCTTTGGGGAAGTTCCCAGGAGGGTTTTTATGCTACTCTGACCAGGTAATCAAGCACAAAACCTGTTAGACCAGTTGTCACCAAGGGATCTTTAGACTTTAAGTAACACCTTATGAATTCCCAAAACCCTCATCTTGTTCTTAAGTGACAAATCAGAAATCCAATTGTGCCAGACATAATGAAGCTTTTGCATGAAATCTAGTTAGAAAGCAACTTTATCTTCCACAACATGAAATTCTAGAATAGGTAATAAAACCTATTCTAAAACCATAGTGACAGAAAGCCAGACACTAAGAACAGAAAAAGTGATTGAAAGCAAAGACCACAAGCAAACTTTTTTTAAAAAAGATTATTCATTTATTTATTTGAGTGTTTTGCCTGCCTGTATATAAGTACACCATGTGCACATCTGGTGCTACAGAGGCCAAAAGAGGGTGTTGGATTCCCTGGAACTACTTAAGGATTTGTGTTAGCCACCATGTGGGTACTAGGAACCCAACCTGGGTCTTCTGCAAGAACAGCAAGTGCTCTTAACCACTGAGCCATCTCTCTACATACAGCCTCCCAACAAGGAAGCCCCAGCTAGCCTGTAGCCTATGTAAACCAGGCTGGCATAGAGATTCCACCTGCCTCACCTCCCAAGTGCTAGGATTAAAGGCCTATGCCCCCACTCCTAGCTTATTTTCAATATCTTGATGGTGATCATGCTATATTATTAAATAAAAAACTCACTAAACACATTTAAAATTAATGAACTCCAGCACTATATAAATGTTAAAACACTTGTATAATAGACCATTGTGAGGATATTCTAGTTTATTCATCCACTCTTTTGCTTATTGGCATTTGGAACTGTTTCCAGGCTCTTGCCTTTGTGAGCAGGACTGCTAGGAGATCCTTAACGGATACCCTCATATGCATGAATGAGTTTCTCTTGAATTTATCCTTAGTACTAGAGTAACTGAGTTATAGGATGGGTAAATGTTCAATTACAGGAGATAAACTGTTTTCCAAAGTAGTTATGATGGTTGGTCTGAGTTGGCAACATGACAGGATTAAGAGATGCCTTGGACTGATGAAACACTTGTGCATTTGTGGAACAGTGACTTGGGAGAAGAAGATCCACTTTAAACAGGAGCGAGACCATTAAAAGGACGAATTGCCCAGATGAAGAAGGGAAGTGTAAGGAAGGCATCCCTCCACCTAGCAAGCCTCTTTCTGTTCCACTTTGTGTTCGCTGCTGCCCAGTCATTAGACTGATCCTTCAGCTCCTCAACACTAATCCAGTATCACAACTCTCCAGACAGCTTCTGAGCCTCAGTGTTGGATTGAGACTGCTAAATTGTCCTCTGGAAGCTAGCTCTCTGCCGCATCAGTATGCCGATGGCCATAGCTGGACTACCCAGTCTCTATCTCATCCAATAAATCCATATATATAGTTTTTCTATTGGTTATGTTGCTTTAAAGAACCTTGCTTAATACAGTAGTTCTGTTTTTCTTACCTAATCTTGTCTATCCTCATTAGACTGTGACCCAAGGGCCAGTAGACCCTATTCCACTTCAGTGATTATTACGTAGCATTCAATTTGCATCAGGTTGGATATCCAAGAGGTTATGGGCAGAAACCCAGGCACCAAAGATCTCTCAGCCTCAGCAATATTAAGTACAGAGTAAATAGCAGGCAAGGATCATACACCACGAATAATGGGTAGGTAGGGGCCTACTCAGAGCACCAGCCAAGTTCCTTGGCGTTCTGTCTTCCTGGCTTCACTTGATTTGAAATCTCAAAGATCTTCCAGGGTTCTCACTTGTAATACAAATCCCAAGAAAGGAGATGGCCTAACCTCAGCTACGGTCCTTCTCAATGGATACCTCTAATACCCAAAATACAGACTGGCATAAAAGACAAAAAGAATGACAAGAAAGGGAAGGATAAAGAAAGTAGGAAGATCCAAGAAATAGTCAAGGGTTCATAGGTCTATTTTTTGGAAAATTAAAAAAAAATATTATATGCAGGGTGGACTACAAGCAATGTTTAATATCCCCTGCTACTAAAGATTACCTTCTTGATCTTTTTGCGTGTGTTTATTTGTTTGTTTTTGAGACAGAGTCTCCCTGTAGCCCCAGCTGTCCTGGAACTCACTATGTAGACCAGGCTGGCCTTGAACTCACAGAGATCCGCCTGCCTCTGCCTCCCAAGTGCTGGGACTAAAGGTGTGTGTCACCACACCTGGCTAAGATTACCTTATTTTGGCAAATATTACAGAATAACCAGCATGTAGCCAGTACACTATGTAATGCCACTCCTAACACACATTGTGTGAGGTAAAGCCCTGCTATGCTCCAGGAAGAGCTCAGAAAAATTTAGAGGTAGGCCAAGAACAGGTACCAGAGCCGGGACATAGACTAGAAATTAGAACAAAACATTTGAAATAAAACATTAGGAGATTCCTAGGTAATGAGAAAACAGAAGGAAGTAGGTTGTCCTTCTGACAATGAAGAGGCCTGATTATTTCCCCTAGTCCCAAATACATCTCTGTCAGCTTCCTAGCTGGCATGCAGGAGCTCACAGGATACTTGCTGTAGATGAAGGAATGCAAGAATAACACACACAAAATATGATACCCCATAGCCATAAGCAGTCTTTCTAGTCACATTTGGCAGAAGGAATGGCCACAATTATTCAGTTCAGGAAAGTTTTCTCAACATAAGGAGATTATCAGGCATTAGCTTAACATTTTTAATTACTTGCTCCTTAAATTAGATCAATGTGCCATATGGAGAAACTAGGGAGGCTGCTTAGGCCTGTCAGCTGATTAAATGGAATTCACCTCAAGGGTGAGAGGGGCTTTGTATCCAGAGTCCTGTAGCCAGGATGAGGGCTTGGGTTTGGCACTTGGGAGCAAGTATTCAGCAGCTACAGCTGAAACAAATAGCACTATAATGGTATTTTTTTGTTGTTTTCTTTTCTTTTTTTTGGTTGTTTTGAAACGGGGTCGCTCTGTAGCCCCAGCTGGCCTGGAATTCGCTATGTAGACCGGGCTGGCCTCAAACTCATAGAGATCTGCCTGCCTCTGCCTCCCAAGCACTGGAATTAAAGGTGTGAGCCACCATACCCAGCTATAATGGTATATAGACTAACATCAAGTCCCCAGCTATAAGCTCAGCTCTATATCACATCAACAATTTTATTAGCTAAATGTTTCTTCCCAAGTTTACAGCTTAAATAAACTATGGGTTTATTCACTGATTTCTTCTAACCCTCTATGCTAGGAGATAGGGGTGGGAAGAGAGTGAGTTAGAAACCTATTGATAATCCAAAACTGGACAGCAGTTCTACCTCCTACTGCTTAAAACTATCTTCAGAAAATCAAACAGGATGGAGATAGGACCCAGAGTGCATCTCTACCACTGGTCGCAGTTTTAATGCTTACAGCAGAGTCTATATCTTCCCACTTCAGAGACAGGGTGATGCTAGGGCAACCTATGCATCTTGCAGAAATACATAGGCCCGAAGTTAGCAATCAGATTTGGTATTACAAGCTCCCCAACTTGGCAGGATGGGAAGAAAGAGAATGTGTCCATGAAAAGCTTTCGGAAGTGAGACAGGTCTTCCACTTGAACCTTGATGCTATACTGATTGGCTAGAAGCTCGATGGTACCTTGCACCACATACTCATTCTGTAAGTGTGACAATGAACAAGTGGAATAGACAACATGACCTCCTGGTTTGGTGGCAAGGAGTCCAGCCCTGAAACAAAGAAGAGAGAAAAGAGATAACTAGTGCATTGCCCAGGAGTGTTAGAGCAATGGAGGGAGTTAGAAACATGGGCAGGACAGTCTACTCAGTGGTGGGCGGTTGGATTAGACAGTCTCTCAGGACACTGACTGAAAAGTCATTTTCAAGGCAGAGAATAATCTAACCATACTCCACCTCCAAGGGCTCTCCTCTAGGAGGCCTTTTTGTTTGACTGGTTGTTTTTGTTTTTATTTTGGGATAGGATCTTGCTATATAGACCCAAATAGCCTCAAATTTGCCACCCTCCTGCCTCAGCCTCACAAGGGCTGGAATTACAAGCATGCACCACCACACCCAGCTGTAGGAGACCTTCTTAGAGTGATTCTTTGAGCCCCGAGCCTGACTCTGGTATTAACTAAACCCTGATGCTATCGACTGAGTTCTCTCCCCAGAGACAGAGCTCTGACTTCAGTAACTATTTTTCTGTTAGCTTTTCTTTCCTTTTCCTCCTCTCTCTCTTCTCTTTCCTTTCTTTCTCCTTCCTCTGTCTCTTTCTTTTTTTTTTTTTTTTTTTTTTGAGATAGAGCCTTACTATGTTGCCCAGGCTAGTGCCTAGGCTGTCCCCAAACTCCTAGGCTCAAACTATCCTCCTGCCTCAGCTTCCCAAATAGCTAGGACTACAGATAGACATCACCATATGTAGCAGAATCTATTTTTCCAAAAATGTGTAAGTTGCTGGGCAAGGTAGTGCATGTCTTTAATCCCAGTAGTCAGGAGGCAGAGGCAAGTGCATCTCTGCAAGTTCAAGGCCAGCCTGATTTACACATTGAGACTCTGCCTCAAAAATAAATAAATAAATAAATAAGTAAGTAAATGTTCAAGTCACTGTACTGAAAGTAAAATAGCCAGTGTGGGGGCTGGAGAGATGGCTCAGCAGTTAAGAGCACTGATTGCTCTTGCAGAGGACCCGGGTTTGATTCCCAGCACCCACATTGCAGCTATGAACCGTCTTTAACTCCAGTTCCAGGGGAATTCGAAGCCCTTTTCTGACCTCCATGACATTGCATGACACGGGTGCACTCACATACATGCAGGCAATACACTCATACACGTAAAATAAAAATAATAAAATATTGAAAAAAAAATAGCCAGTGTGGCGTTTTTGTTCTAGGAAAGGACCATCTCATCATGTCTTTCTCCTCCAGACAAATCTCCAGTTAGAGGATTCTTCTATGTGATAGTCTTAACAAAAGTTCCCAGTTGTCTGTCAGGTGACTAGACTTCTAGAGCACTCTGGCATAAAGTCCTAAGATTTTATAACTGTTATCACTCACGCCAGAAGGTGCGCCTGCAGCATAGGCAACATCTGTCGCTCCTTCTTCCTCGACCGCTGAAAAATGTTGTTCTCTTCCTCATGCAGGGAGTGGCGGTCGGTGGTACAAGGTACATCTACCAGCACCTGCCCAGAGTTAAAAGATAGAGCATTCAAGGTTTTTAGGTCAGAGCTGTTTTAGACCCAAGGACAAAGTTCAGTGGATGCTCCCTCCCCCACGGATCCCTCCATCGCAGAGCTTCTCATTTTAACAGCCAATGGTGAAATAATACAGGAAATATACAGGAAAACAGTATATTTAGTAATACCCAAATACCAAAAGTCAAACCTAGCCAGGCATGGTGGCACATGCCTGCAGTTCCAGCCCTTGAGAGCTGGAGGCAAGAGGATATGCACAAGTTTGAGGGCAACAGGTCTCCACAAAGTTTTCCAGACCAGCCAGGGCTACAGAGTGAGATCTTGTCTCAAAAAAAGAAAGAAGCTGGGCATGGTAGGGCACGCCTTTAATCCCAGCACTTGGAGGGCAGAGGCAGGCAGATCTCTGTGAGTTCAAGGCCAGCCTAGTCTACATAGTTCCAGGACAGCTGGAGCTACAGGGAGACCCTGTCTCAAAAAGACCAAAAAAAAAAAAAAAAAAAAAAAAAAAAAAAGAAACAAAAAAGAAAAAGAAAAAGAAAAAAGAAGCTATATGTTGTAGTGCATGCCTGTCATTCTTATACTTGAGATGTGGAGGTGAGCAAATCAGAAGTCATGGACATCCGGCTGGAGAGATGACTCAGCAGTTAAGAGCACTGGCTGCTCTTGCAGAGGACCTGGGTTCAGTTCTGAGCTCCCATATGGAAGCTAACAAACATTGGTAACTCCAGTTCCAGGGCATCTGATACCCTCTTCTGGCCTCTGCAGGCATTGCACACATGGGTGCACTTACTTAAATGAAGGCAAAACACTCATATGCTAAAAATATATTTTTAAAAATAAATTTTTTTTTTTTGGTCTTTTTGAGACAGGGTCTCCCTGTTGCCCCAGCTGTCCTGAAACTCACTATGTAGATCAGGCTGGCCTTGAACTCACAGAGATCTGCTTGCCTCTGCCTCCTGAGTGCTAGGACTACAGGCATTGTGCCACCACGCCCGGCTCTTAAAAATGTTTTTAAAGTCATGGCCAGCCTCAGCTACACAATGAATCTGAGGCCTTCTTGGACTATATGAGACCTCATTTCAAAAACAATAAAAAACAAAAATAAAAACAAAACACATATAAGCAAGGCATAGTGGTTTAATACCAGTACTCAGGAGGCAGAGACAGGCAGATCTGTGCAAGTATTAGGCCAGCTGGGGCCTCAGGGAGACTCTGTCTCAAAAAGACAAAAAAATGGGCTGGAGAGCTCAGGCTCACAATCCAACAGAAAAGATAAACAAATATAAAAACTATAAATAACCACAATTAAATCACTGCTATCAATCAAGAAAGAAATTTTAGTTCTTTGAGGCTCTGTTCTTGACTAATAAAAATATCCAGTTTACATATGATACAATGCTCAATTTACAGATAATACTAAATAACAGAAAAGAATCAGAATTTGAAATTATCTCGTTAAAACAATGTCCCATGTGAGGCCCTAGGTTCAATCCCAGTACTATATTTAGAAGGAGGGGCAGAGGAGGAGGAGGAGGAGGAGGAGGAGGGTGGGGGGGGAGAAAAATGCTCAGATCCAACACAAATTAGCTCTTCTTGGTTTGGTTTTTTGAGGGCTGGTCTGGAACTCCCTATGTAACCCAGGCTTGGCCTTGAACTCAATTCTCCTACCTCAGTTTCCCAAGTAATGGGATTATAGATAAGCACCACCATACTGGTTTCTTCTCTTTTTGTCTTTTTGAGACAAGGTCTCCCTGTAGCCCCAGCTGACCTGGCACTCACTGTGTAGACCAAGCTGGCCTTGAACTCACAGAGATCCACTTGCCTCTGCCTCCCAAGTGCTGGGATTAAAGGCGTGGGCCACCATATCCAGTCTTGGTTTCTAATATTTTTAAAGTGAGAAATGTAAATTCAGGCATCATTTTACTAAAAGCTTTTTCTATGTACTAGGCTCTAGAGTCAGACAAAAAAATTTAAAATATTCCTATATGTATGTCTGAAAAAGAAAAAAATATTCTTGGCAAAGATCATTTTGGCTAAATAAAAGCATCAAGCAAATTAAAAATAACACAGTCTTCAATATTGATACAGTCCTTGATAAGTTGACACAGAGCATTACACGGCCAGAAAAATGAACATGGCATGGTGGCACACCTGTAATCCCAGCACTTGAGAGATAGAGGCAGGACAATAAGAAGTTCAGGGTTGGGGCTGGAGAGATGGCTCATCGGTTAAGAACATTGGTTGTTCTTGCATAAGACCTGGGTTTGAATCCTAGCACCCACATGGCAGCTAACAACTGTCCATAACTTCAGTTCCAGGGGATCTGACAGCCTCTTCTGTCCTCCACAGCATTGCACGACACAGTGCACTTACAAACATGCAGGCAATACACGCATATACATAAAATAAAAACAATAAATAAAATATTTTAAAAAAGAAGGTTATCCCTGACTACATATTGAATCTGAAGCCAGCCTGGGCCACATGAAACCGTCTCCAAACAGAGCAGGAGGAGGGCTGGAGACAGCTCAGTAGGTTAAGAGCATTTGCAACATAAGCGTAAAGACCTGAGTTCAGATCCCCAGAATCAACATAAAAAAGCCAGACATAGTCACGTGTGCATCTGCAACCCCAATACTATGAAGAAGCAAGACAGGAGGATGACTGGGACTTCCTTGCTGCCAGCTTAACTCCAGGTTCAGTTGGAGACCCTGCCTCAAGGGAATAAGACAGAGCGACAAGGTAGGATACTTGACATCATAAAGTAGGATACTTGACATCATCCCTGTCTCCCAAGTATACATGGGGCTCGCAAACCCAAATGCATATATGTACATACACCACACATATATCACTCATACACACATGTACATACATACACATACACACAAACAAATAATGGCCAAATAGAGTAACAAAAATGATCTCCTTGTATTCTAGTCAGGCCATATCTCACAAACTTTGATTATGCTAGATTTTAGAGCAAAAAAGATATCTAAAATGTGATGTCCAGATCAGTAAGATGGTTCAGTGAGTTAAAGCACCTGCTGCCAAGTTTGGCATCCTGAATTTAATCACTGGGACCCACATGGTGAAAGGTAAGAACCAACTCCCAAAAGTTATCCTCTAACCTCCATAAGTGTGGCCACGGCACTTGCATACACACGTGCACACACAAAATAAATAAATATATAAATACATAAATTAAATGGGAATGCTCACAGAAGGGTAATTAGGACATTCTAGAAACCACATCATAAAAGAAATTAGTATAATTTCCAGTAATGTGATAGTTGCATATTAAAACTGCTTTACACAAAATACCTGTAAAGACTAGGTAAAATATACCCTAAAATACTGTTGGTGCCAGGTATGGTGGAGCATGTCTTTAATCCCAGCACTTGGGAGGCAGAGGCAGGCAGATCTCTCAGGCCAGGCTGGGGCTACAGGAAGACCCTGTCTCAAACAAATAAACAAATACTGCTGGCTAGGCATGATGGCATATATTTATAATAGCAGCATCCAAGAGGCTGATGTAGGAGGATATGAGTTCAAGGCCAGCCTGGGCTATATTGTAAGACTATCTCAAAAAAACAAAAACAAGGGGCTAGAGGGATGGCTCAGCAGCTAGGAGCAGTCTTGCAAAAGGCCTGGGTTTGGTTCCCAGTACTCACATGGCAGCACACAACTGTCTATAATTCCAGTTCCAGAGGATCTGACTCCCTCTTCTGTCCTCTGTGGCATAGGTACACATGTGATGAACATACATGTAGGCAAAACACTCATACACACAAAATAAAAATTAATTTAATTTTTTAAATTATATGATTGTGCCTCTGTGTGTGATATGCTATGTGCACATGTATACAGGTGTCAGAGATGTTGGATGCCCCTGCCACCTGACATGGGTGCTGGGAACCCAACTCAGCTCTTCTGGAAGAGCAGCAAGTGTTCTTAACTGCTGGACCATCCTTCCAGGCCCCAAAACAAACCTAAAAAAAAAGCAAAACAAACCCTTTTAAAGGTTCAGTGCATAGAAAATTAGAGAAATCATCAGAAGCCAAAACCCCCTCACAAATCCAGGGAGGTGTGTAGACATGAAGTCAATGGCTTCTGTTTTTATCAATCCCTAGTAACCAAAAGCCTAAGGGAAAAAAAAAAAAAAAAAAAAAGACACGTCCGGTAGGAAGATATGATGGAAATCCATAGCAAAGTCAAATCCTCCAAGAGCTACAGGTTTAATCAAAGAATGAACTGTGGGGATCTAAAAACCATCAAATTATATTGTGTAAAAATCACAAAAATTCAAAGCCAGGCATGGTGGCACTTGCCTGTAATCCCAGCACTGGGGAAGCAGGGGCAGGCGGATCTCTGTGAGTTCAAGGCCACCCTGGTCTACAAAGTGAGTTCCAGGACAGCTAGGGCTACAGGGAGACCCTGTCTCAAAAAGACCAAAAAAAAAAAAATTTTTAATCACAAAAATTCAATAAAAAATTTTTTAAAAAAGAATGAACTAGGAAAGAAAATCCAGCTCATAAAAGAAATTGACAGGGTTGCTGGAGAGATGTAAGAGCACTGACTGTTTTTGCAGAGGACCTGGGTTTGGTTCCCAGCACCCACACCCACATGATGGCTCACAATAGTCTGTAACTCCAGTTCCAGAGGATCCAATGCTCTCTTTTGGCCTCAATAGGCATTAGACACACATGTGATGCACATACATACATGCAGGCAAAACACATATATCCATAAAATAAAAATAAATCTTGCTGGATGTGGTGATGCACACCTTTAATCCTAGCACTTGGGAGGCAGAGGCAGTTTGATCAGTCCCTGTGAGTTCAAGGCCAGTCTGGTCTATATAGTGACCATAGCTGGGGCTACAGGGAGACCCTGTCTCAAAAGTACCAAAAACAAAATAAATAAATTTTTTTTTTGGTCTTTTTGAGACGGTCTCCCTGTAGCCCCAGCTGTCCTGGAACTCACTA